TGTTGACGAAGTTTTAATCATTTTTGTGTAATTTAAACACCGTACACAAAATTCAAAGAAAATGAAATAAAATAAAATAAAATAAACTCACCATACAATCAGGAAAACAAAAGCACTTCAAAATAGTTAAACAATAATAAAAGAGGAACAATTAGAGAAGAAGATAACAACATTAAAAAAATTTAAAGAATCTAAAAAAATTATAAATCAAATTGAACAACAAATTTTACATAATAAAACTTACATAAAGTGTGAATCTTTTATATTTTAAACAATAAAATAATTTAAAATATTTATAAACGCTGACAAATTACATGTACACTGAATAATTACTATACTTGATAAATGAATTTAATTAAATTGTGAAAATATTCTTTTAATTATTATCACTTAAGAAATTTTATTTTATTTTTATAAGCAAAACATATATTATTAGAGAATTTAAGGGAAACTCAAAACTTGTATACACAGATAAAAAATCTAACACTTACTCCAGAAAATAAAAAGTAAAAACATACTTATATAAAGTTAAGACGGATGCAATTTCTAGGGTTCAAATACCAATCAGCTAGCAAAATAGCTTCTTTCTTATTAACCAGTGATAGTCATTTACAAGACCTTAGAATAATAGAATCTTGGACTTCCCTCTCATCTAAAACACCGTTAAAAAACACAATTTTATTTATATGTAATCACAAAGACCACATTGCACTTACCCAAATAGGAATGGCAATAGGTAAAGGATCTGATGAGTACTCACAAAATTTACCTACAACAGGTAGGGTATTTACCCGTTACATGGGTACGGGTATGGGTAAATACCCACAAATTTTAATGGGAATGGGTGCGGGTATGGGTATCTAAGTACCCACCCTGTCCCATACCCGCATATATATATAAACTTTATTCTACAACTATGTATTAAATTTTTGTATTATTATATTATTTATATAAAGTTATATAAGATTAATATAAAAATATATTTAATAATAAAGTAAACAAAAAAATGTATTTTATGTTATATTTTTAATAAAATGATTTATTTACTACTTTATATTGTTTAATTAGGCTAATACAATTTAATTATTACACAATTGATATGAGATTGACTTTTTAAAAAAATATTATTTATATATGACACGCATATAAAATATTTTTCACACAAATATTTTTATTAATAAAATCATATTAATATTTAAATCATAAAGTGAATGATAAATAATAAATATATTATAAATGTTTTATAAATTTTATAATCACCTACTATTACTGTAGGCTTATTATTTATTGATAATATTTAAATTTTATTTTTTATATTTTAATTTAAAATAATATTATCTTATACAACATGTCCATTGAATATAAATAATATTATTCTTACCATTTGATTTACCAAAAAAGTGTTTGAAAAGATATAAAATATAAAAAAATATTGTTAATTCTTATTTGTTAATTTTTTCTTCAGATAAAAACATATATTTTTTATATACATGTATATTTCTTTATTATAAAATTGTATTGTGACTACTTATCTTTTATTTAAATTATTTCTTTTAAAATTTATATACATTATAAATATTTAATTCATTAAAATAATTTTTTAAAAATTTGTATATTTAACAAAATTCTTTCTTATAGTACATGAATTAAAAATACTGGTATTAATATATATATATATATATATATATATAATTTTAATTAAATCTGTTATTTTTTTTACAATTTCAGCTTCAAAAGTTAAAAAAATATTTTATATATCCACTTTTTATTGTCATTTAGTACTTGAATTTCTCTGTCCTAACTCTACTCTCATTTTCAATATCTGTTTCATTAAAATCTAGCAACTATGAAACGTTATTCATCATAGTTAGTTGTCAATGTCGCCATAAAAGGTCACCAAGTAGTTCCACTTAAAGGGTCACTAATTGTGCAAATCTATCTCTTTGTAACTCTATTGTTGCCGTACGATTGGATCTCATACAAGATAGGGTCATCGTTGACAAATAGCTTATGTGTTTAATTTCTTTTATTATTTTTAAGAATTTTAGTTTAGAAAATTGTTATATTAAGAGATATTTAGTATTTGTGATCTTTGAATATTTATTTTTTTATCTATATTTATATCTTGTTTGGCAAATATTTATTGAATTTTTATATTATTATACTACTTATGTGAAATTAAATAAACATGTTTTTTTATAAATAATTTTTTCTCAAATAAGCGCGAGTAATGGGTACAAGATAGATATGTGGGTACCCAGAGGGTGCGGGTACGAGAATCAATGTTTATACCCATACCCATGCAGGTATGGAGTTGGGTACGAGTACTTTTTTAAAATATGGGTATGGGAATGGATACTATAGTACCCTACCCATTCCCATTCCTATACCCAAACAATTAATAAACAAATTCCTTCTCTTTTACTACAACCAACATCAATTCAAGAAAGTAAATGAGTCGATAAATTTGAAGGCAAAACCATTGAGAATCTAAGCCAACGTGTAGTAAAATATTATATTTGAGATGAAACTGAGCACGTAAAAAACAAATGAGTTGAAACTTTCTCCAAACCATGATAAAAATAACAAGATATATCATTAATTTGAACACCATGATCAATCAGCAAACATTTTACAAGGAAGTGCATTCAACAACAATTGCCAAGTAAATACTAGATACTTAAGATGGACCTTCCCTCTCTATAGTCTTTGTAAGGCGTCTGTCGTACACTGATTTACACTATTAAGACCACCAAATAGTTCAAATAGTCATGAATACGCAGATTGCACTGAATAACAACCTGAAGAATATGCCCTTCATACCCATTTATTTTCTTGTACTACCTGAATAGAAACTCTATCCACAAGCTCTAACAAAAATATTAAAGCTTGAGATCTCATGTTGAAAGAGTTCTCTTCGCCAACTAACATCCCAAACCCATCTAGTGTCATCATGAAAATCATTCTCTAACACACGAGATTCAACATTCCTCGCCACCGCAAATAATCGCGGAAATGCCTCACACAATCGCACTCCACTTACCCACTTATCTCTCCAAAAAAGAGTATGCAAACCTGCACCCTAGAACAATTAACACATCGCCACAACCATTTATCAAGAAGCGTCATGTTAAACCACTGGACTTTCTTAATTCCCAAGCTACCATTCTTCCGCGGTCTACAAACTGTGTCACATTTCACCAGGAGATTTTAGATCCATCTTTAACACCTTATCACTTAAGAAATTATTTGTTAAATGAATTTTTTAAATGTTAAATTGCATATTAAAATATCAATATGTTATTAATATTAGTCAATATTGTTATCTATATTCAATTATGCAATAATCACTTCTAAATGATTGGTTTAGTTTGATATTAAATTTTCACAATAGTATTTGATTTGACTGAAGTGAACATCTAATATTTGTTATCATATGCTATAATTAATATTTTAGTGCCGTCACGTGACATGAGTTGCATAGGTGAAAGCTCTCTTTATGTAATGTATGATATATTTATATTTATATATAAAAGAAAAGTAGATTAATTATAGTTATTAGAACGATTTAGACAATTTGATGGATCGAATGGGTGTAATTTTACATCTAACAGACCATTGTCTTTTTTAAATAAAATAAATATAAATGTTATTTAAGTTTAGCAATTTTCTTACCTTAAAAATATTGTATTTGTCTAAAATTAGTCTAAAACATAAAATGTTTCAAACCACAAAATTGATCTAAAATAAAATAAGATAAAATCATTAAAAAATTTAAAATTAGAATAAAATATACTTTATCTGTTTTGATTCAATGTTTAAAAATATTTTTTTTAAAATAAATTAATCAAAGTTGAGTCGTGTGTCCTCAAACTTTTTAGAGAATCTCATTTTAGTGTTTTTTTTAAAGAAGTTTTAAAATTTTGTTGACTAATATTTATGCTGTAGTGTGATGATTGATACTCAGTTTTTATTATAATTATTGTTTAATTCTGAATTTAGTAAACATTAATTGCATGCTTAAGAACAAATATTTCAAATCCACGCAGACCGATCCATTTTGTTTATTTATCTGTTTGACTTGATTTGGATTTTTGTTCAATGATCAAATACAATAGAAGCACAAAACTTATTTTGAGATAAACTAAACTTAAGGTAGTGTTTATCCCAGTTCATTTTGAACTTATCTTTTCCTTAAATGGTGAAATTAGACTAGATAAAATTCCAGTAAAAAGAACATTAAAAAGGAAATTTTTTTAAAATAAAATAAGATTTATAGACAAATAGTTCAAAAGCTGTTTAACTAATGCCTTTTTTTTTAATTCCTTATTTTAAATGTCAAGATTAAAACATACAGTGCCCAAAGAAATTTAGCTTAAGAAACTATAAAGTTACCATAAATCAAGTTAGGCCAAATATTACTTGAATCAGGAAAATTAAGAATGAAAAATGTAATGTGATACTTTGAGTTATACTATTTTTTCCCTTGAAGACTATTTTTGTGTGTGTTTTTTTTTCCACATGCTTGAGTCATAATATATTTTAAAAATTAATTAAATTATAACAAACACTATTACATTATCAAATTAGTGTTTGAATAAATCGACAAATATATATTTTAAAAGAGCAAAATATATTTACTCTGATTAAAAATACAGCAATAGAGGACTTAAAATAAAATAGCATGAGCATTGGTTGTAATATGATTAAATGGGAATATATCATAGCAATCAATTATCATTAATTAAAAAATAAACTATTATTATATCATGATGCGTCACGACTGATTCTTTATTTCACTTTGGGTAAAGTCGCTTTAATTGTTTTTTCTTTTCTCAGTGCACGCGCAGAGGTCAAAGTCAAAGGCGCAATGTGACATTTACACCAACGTCACCATGGAAGAAACCAGATCCAGAATATACAAATAAAAATAAAAATAAAAATAAAGATAAGAAATAGAATAAATCACGAAACGGAACCGTCCAAAGTAAACATCTGCAATGGGCGCGTGTGCGTCTTCTCATTCTGCGACGATGACAAAAACGACAAGTGCTAGTGCTAAGGGCGGCATTGCGTGTGCGACGGAGTCTTTCCGGAGACCGTCGTCGATCGTGGTGATGGACATGATGGGGGGAACAAAAGAGTACAGACAACCGATCCCCGCGAGCATGGTGCTTTCGGAGAACCCGAATTGTTACCTCTGCAATTCAGAGTCAATGTACATCGGCACGTGCATGCCACGCATGGCCGATGAGGAGGAGCTTCAACCTGGCCGAATCTACTTCCTCGTCCCACTCTCTCATTTTCATTCCCCTTTGTCCCTCCGTCTTCTCTGTGATCTCGCCGTTAAAGCCAGCACTGCACTTGTCAAAACTAACGATAACGGAGTCTCTGTTCAGCGCCGTTCGCTCTGACTTCATCGCCCATAAGCATGTAATTGATGTAAGTTAACTTTCATCGATTTTTGTTTTTTTGGGGGAAAGTTTTATAGTGTTTCATATTCATTTGTAATTTAATAGATTTATTCATGGGTCATTAAATTTGTATGTGGTAGCGAAGAAAAGGCCCAAATAAGAGTATGGGTTAATTGGTGGGAGAACAAGAACGGTTCTGTGAATTGGTATGGAAATGGACTGGTGTGTGCCGGTGCCCCACAAGAGTAATCAAATGGAGCATCCTCATTCCTCATTGTGATTGTGCAGAAAACTCCACCGTATTAAAACTGTCCCTATTTGTAATTGTGTGGAAACATGTCCCTTACCAGATGTAAAGGAACCCAACAGAGTCCAGTATTCAAATAACAAGTTAGTTGTAAGCTAAGTTGCCTAAGTCTTGAACTTGAGGGAAGTGTATTTTTAATTTATATAAATAAAAATAATAAAAATAACGTGTAAAAACTATTTATTTGGTGGTCACCCTTTTTTTTTTCGATCAATTCATATAACTATACGATAATTGGGAGAAAAATAACAGACAAACTTCATTCTGTGCCTGTGCATTGTTTATTATGGACGGGTACGCCAAACTCAATTTCACGAGTATTGAAGTTCGTTCTTTCTCATTAAAGCCATCGAGGTAGGTTAATTCGATAGGCCTTAAGTTTAAGGGTTCAAATCATTAAATTTAAGGTCTAACTAAAAAATAACTTATTATATTCTCTCAATACCCCAAATAATGGAACCAAAACAAAATTTTCTATCCACACTCCAAACTAAATAACTAATACCGGTTAGGTCACAACTCCGGTCCTTTTCCTGCCAGTATTCTAATAATCCAATGGCTACCCGCTTTGGTACTGATTTGGGCCCATCCTCAGCCTCTCAGCTGCGCGGTTAGAAACACATTTTCACAACCATAAAAATTACATTTTTTAGTAATTAAAACTCTTTTAATAAGTTAAAATTGAGTCTTATTTTTTATTTTTTAGAAATATTTTTAATATAATTTTTTTAAAAGCATAAAATGCATAAATAAATTTTAACTTAGATTATTTTTTGCAAGTACTTATGCATAAACTTTTCCAGACTGCCATATCTGATCTGATTAAAAAAAATAAAATAGTAATGACGTTTTTACATGCATTCAGGAGATGTAATTTGGGTATGAGAAGAAGAGAAATAACAAATAAAGTAAAAAAAATTTAGAAAAAAAAAAATATGTGATGTGATGTATATAGAAAAATAAAGGATAAAAATGAAAGAGAATTGAATATAAAGAAAATGAGGTGTGAAAATATCCAAAAAAAATAAAATAGAATACTAGTGTAAATACATAAATAGTTACTATAAGAAAAAATGAGTATTTTTTTTCTTTATTTAATTTGGATTTGACTTAATTTTTTTTATATATATAAAAATTTAAACTTAAAATCTTATTTAAGCGATATTAAGTCATTTCTTATTTAGAATAACTCTCGTTGATAAAAAAAAAGTATTTAAATATATAGTTTATAAATTATATCATAAATTTAACTATAAAGTTTATTAAAATATATTTAAAATAATTTATTTTAATGAGATATATTAAAAATATTAAAATAACTACAAATAATTTATAAAAATTATAAAATATTTTTAACAAACTGTTTATTAGTTCTGTTAAACAGTATCCTGATACGTAATTATGCATGCTGGTATTGAACCTGTACCATGCATCAGTTATCCTCGGAGTTTTTAACTCTGTGAATCATATTTATTATTTAATTATTAATATCTTTTATTATTTGTTTATAAGTTTTCTATCAATTGTTCAAAACAAAAGTTTTGCCCCAGACACATTACATTAGGGGAAAACCAACAAAAAAAATAGTCTATTAAGTCTACTCTATTCAAATTATGAAAACACATGATAAAATAATTTTGTATATAATGCGGTAATTTAAATCCAATTTTTAGCTTTTATTTTTTTTAGAAAAATCTAAAACATTGGATTGACATTAATTGTTGTCCCATAAGTCGCCTCAAGTTGAAATTCTAGATTGGGTTGGTTAGGTTTGGATTGGGTTAAGGTGAAGTTAACCATTAATATTATGAACCCAATTGTGTGTGTGTTTATAAACCCTTCTTACAAAATTAATAAAATGATTTTTAAATAAGGTAAACTAAAATAGCTAGTATTGCTGAATCAAGAGGATAAAAACAAGTACTAATAAACCACTATAATTCACGATTTAATGGTTTAAGATCTTATAGAATATACAATTCCTTCTTCATGTATGATGTTATGTTATGGTTTACCAATAAAAAATGTTTATTTCAACGTGGATGTTTTGCTTATGACAATATAATTAACACAAAGCTGTCTCCATTACGCAATCCCCTCTTAAACTTTTATTCGATTTTCAATATATAATTTTAATATAATAAATAATATTATTTTACAATATTTTGTATGTTAAAGAGAGAGATTAAAATCTTTTGAAAATGTACCTTAGTTATTAGTTGAAATAAACAACTATAATGTGAAATAAAATAAGTAAATGGCTTACGACTTTCTAACGTAGAAACAAAAACACCGAATTGGGAAAATCCATAAGCTGCTTGCCAGCAGATAGTGGATCCTGCATGAGTGACACGAGTAATAAAATCTCGCACTACAATCTGCAATACAGCTTGCACTCCATGTTTCAAACCAAGATAAAATTATACGACTTTCGATAATATCTATGATAGATAAGTATTTAATTTCCTAAAATTAAAATATAGTTATTTATTATTATTATTATTATTATTATTTAATAATTTTATATTATTAATTTATTGTGTAATTTGAGAGTATATCATGCATCATTTATATTGCGATGTGCGTTAATGTTTTACGATTTAAAAAAAAAAAAAGAACATTCATGTGGCGACGTGAGTATGTGTTATGTCAAGGACAGTTTCGTAAATCCACTTGAGCCCCTTCGTACCTCCTATATAGCAATAGCATAGTCTAAGCCTTATTTACAACTGCACGTACGAATACCCGTTCAGAGGAAGATAAGGTCAAAATGAAAACGTTCCATCATCCACTGTTTTCGCTGGCGGCTTTAGCCATTTTCCTCGTCTCAGCCACCGCGCCGGAGCCTGCGCCGCCGCCTCCGACGCTCACGGCAGCTGCGAGGGAGTTCTTAGAGGCGCACAACGAGGCAAGAGGCGCAGTGGGCGTGGAACCGCTGAAGTGGAGCGAGAAGCTGGCGAACTTGACGAGTCTTCTGGTTCGGTACCAAAGGAACAAAAAGGGATGCGAATTCGCGAACCTCACCGCGAGCAAGTACGGCGGAAACCAGCTGTGGGCGGGCATGATGGCGGTGACACCGAGCGCGGCGGTGGAGGAGTGGGTGAAGGAGAAAGATTTCTACATTCACGCGAATAATACGTGCGTGTCTAAGCACGAGTGCGGCGTTTACACGCAGGTTGTGTGGAGGAATTCAACGGAATTGGGGTGCAGTCAAGCGACGTGTGTGAAGGAGCAAGCTAGCTTGACCATTTGTTTCTATGATCCACCTGGAAACGTCATTGGGGAGACCCCTTACTAATTATGCTAATTCTGCATTCCTTTCACTATCTCTTTAATTATATGTATCATCAAGCATATGCTATTTAAGTGTTAGATTAGGTGTAGCCGTGTAGGCGTAATGTCGTAAGAATGTAATATTGCTATGTCAATTTGTCAATGTCATGCCACGAATTGCATTACATATATATGAAGTGAATCGGAATCAGCTAGTAGCATGGCACAAGATAAGATTGCATGGATTTATTTGTTTTGACTTAAGTTATTTCCTCTCCTACCTGTGTATTTTTGAAAGGTGGATCTTAAGTGCGTCCTTTCCACACTTTTATTACTTAAATAATTAAAAATTAATATTGAATGTAATTAGAAATCTGGCTTTAAAAGCTCTAGTTATATATGAAAGGGGAATTGTCTCAGCCTTAAGAAGGTTTTCTGATCATATTTTTAAACGCATTTCTTGATCCTGGAATGGGATAAATTATGTACGAAATTTGCCTCAGAGAATACTTATGGCTAATCTAAGATTTAAATTGAATAATTTATGATATAGACGTTAAAAAATTGGGTCTAATGAGAGAGGATTGTCTAACATATAATTATTTTTATCTTTTATTTGTTTGTATACAGATGCAACCTGAAAAAGCAGCTCAGTGATTGGGCTGGTGCTTTTGGGGTACGAGTAGTGGAAGTGGATATCGTGATATCACTGACGAATAATTAGCCTGGAGTTCACGTGCACATAAGGGATCAAATACGGACTTGGATCAACATGTGAACCTAAAAATCTTGCAACGTCATCTTAAATTTTAGTACGTGGATCATACTTGAGATTGGAGATTATTTTCCTATATTGTTCTGTTCTTTGGTTCCATTTGGGTTCCAAGCTGGAGACGCAAAATCGGTTTTAGGTGCAGACTAGTCAAACAAACACTAAACTCGTTATAGTAAATCATTTATGATTTTTTTACCGCTGCCACGTCGTGTGATTATATTATTGGTGATCTAAAACCCCCCCACCTTTGATTTTCATGTTTTCTGCTATCATTTGTTTTGTCTTTAAGCTTATATTAATAGTTTAATTCCCAACAAGTTAGACAATCACCAAACATATACATGTGGTGTGGGATTTGTACGTTAGTAACACATTATTTACACCGCTCGCTGCAGAATCTCAATTATTTTGACACACTACTGCAACTACAGGTTCTCCAATGACATAACAAGACATTACAAATGCAAAATGCTTCACATGCATTGCAATATTATATTTTCTGTTGATGCTACCTCCGACTTTGTACAAAAAGAATTACGTAGATCAAACAATGCCAATCGTCTCCCACACTAAGAGGTAATGCTTCCAAGAATCATTTAACCATATCCTTGGATATGAGGTATCGAAAAGTGAAGTTATGTGGAGTCCATTCTATGCACTTCCTTGATTTTGCAAGCTGACATTTCTTAACACTCTTTCTAAGGGATTCTGGAAGAGATTCTTGAATCATATCCATGACACCACTGGGGCACAAACCTGAGTCTTTGGTGAATGATTCAACAAGCTTTGGTAAAAGTATCTTTTGGTCCTTGCGTACCCCAAATGTAGCTCGAATGTACTCCTCCTTTGCAACTTCAAGCTCTTGAAACACCCTCTTTGGTGTGTATACGCGGACCTATCAAAGGTCATCAGAGCATAAGCAACTCATTGAAGTTTAGCAAAGGAAAAATGGTTGTTAGTTAAAAATTAATTGCTTCTAGATGTAATAATACCGCCAAGGCAAGCATCACAGATGGCAGCGTCAATTTATTAAGGCATGTAAACAACTTCTGCAAATGATTTAATTCCAATTTTATTTAATATCATGGTACAAAAACTATTCCAGTACAGGTCAAAATGATTTGTGCATGAATACTTGCCAATGTATCTAGTATTGTCCAAAGCCCCAAACAAATTCTTCTTTTGTCCGATATTGTATTTCATTTCAATTGTCTTAAATTATTTGTCACTAAAATATTTATTACTTTCTGCAACAATAACCTTACTTATTTGAAATATTTTTTTTTGTCAAATAACAATTAAAATAATTCCAAGATTAATTATCACCTAATTACTGCAATAAATTCAGAACTATCAATAGGAGTGTTTTAGTAAAATTAATTTATTTTACCATAATAATTAATATTTTTTTTTCAAAATGTGTACATTAGTACAAAGTCACATCCAATACGAGGTAGAAGGACCTTGGAGGATTTCTATAATCAAGCACTGGATAAATTGGTAAGTTAGAAATGTAATAAAATTGAATAAAAATGAGAATTGGGAAAGTACCGCTGGATCAGAATGATTTCCTGAACAGAGTGCGAAGTGTGAAAGTGGCTCAGGATGCTCTAGTGCATGGGCTTGTCGTCCATTTCCAGCTCTGAATTTTTTCCTTGGAGAAAACAACAAGCGCAGCCACTACAAGAGGAAGCGAGTTTGAAGAAACACCCATGTAAGTCACTAGTCTCTAGGATTAAAAATAAAATGCTTTGCATGTTATGGAGATATTTCAAAAGTATATCTGCATGGCACTTCCATTGTATTTTTTTTGTTTATTTTTTTACAGGGATGAGGTTGTAAACATGGAATCACCTGTCCAGGGCGAGACATCCTGCACTTGAGTATACTACTTTGTATTGTGTCTGCACTAACTGTACGACCCCCAACATTATATGCAGCCTGCAAATACCAAGCAAGCACATGGGCTTAGGAGTTTCATCCTTTAATGACTTTAAGCTACTACTCTCTCAATGTTTACCTTCAAAAGAAGAAAGACTCTTCTCACATTGTTTTGTGGAATCCCATATGCCAAAAATGCCTATTAGAAACCAAAGAACAAATTATACCCAACTAATCAAATGAGAAAATGAATGGGAAAATACTATAGCGAAACTTATTCTTTGATCATATAATAATTACATGCATAACCAAAGCATTGTGTATGTTGATCCAGAAAGCTAGCTTCTCCTCGTGTTTCAACTTGCCAGGATTTACTTCTTCTAATCGACAAATAAGTGACCTGAAAGGACATTCTCATTAAAACTTCCATTACTGTTAACATGAGACCCTCACTGTCTTTATAGAAATATGCAATAACCACCTGAAATTCTGCAGCAACTTCTCTGTATCACCCGATTTCCGACTCTCTCTATAAATCCATGATATTTCAACCATGGTGCTGTATGGACCACTAAACTCCTTTAGCCCTTCCACATGGAAAGGGTTGTCTAACCGTACATCAAAAGAGTTATTCCTGAATCTCGGGCTCCACATATCAACTTGATCTCCAATAGAAAAGGCACTTGTTGTGGACAAGGATGAACTGGGAGAGGAAAGGCCTTGATGTGTCATGGGAGGGTCTGCTAGTTTGCAATATATGGCTGATATGCATTTGACCATATCCTCAGAAAGTTTATTAAGTTGTACTGGAACATGATCAGATATCCGGGTACCAAGATGTTCAGCCAAACTTATTATATTTGATGAAGAACTTTGAGTATACTGCATAGAATCAAGTGGTGAAGGTCAAAATCCAATGAAGGCCTCCACACAGGTCAATCTCTCTCTGCAAATAATTCTGATGTAGTTGCAAAGAGAAGTGAACATAACACATTTTCACGTGACATATTGATATGTTTTCTACAAAAATGGAGAAAATAAATAAATAAATAATTTGAGGAACCATTACAGTCTCCTCAGTTAAAACTCAAAAGTATTTTTTGATTTGTTATGCAACAACTCAACGTGCAAGGAGCCAAACTACACATAAAACCAGCTAAATAATTTTCCATGAAACTAGATTCACCTCCAACATGGACAATGGCTGTGAATGACAGGCACGCAGAGATTTAGTTAAAGATTCTGCAGGAGGAGATGCCATTGTAAAGGCTGGACAATGGGACAACGAGGAATGGCAACGATAAACACCAGAATCTAAATGCTTTTCTTCTAACCCATTTCCATTATATTCTTTCCCAAAAGTCTCAAATTCATATCTATTATGCTCCTTTTTCAGAGTCTCAAGCTTATGGTCGTTAGATTCTGTTGTAGATAATTCTCTTGTTCTTAAGACCTCGGGCATAGGAACGTTGATGAATCTTGCTCTCGGTGTTGTTAGAGGGGACTTCACAGTTTCCTCCTTGGAAGACGGAGACACAGGAGATAATTGTTGATCAAAAGCTTTACGGTACAAGGAGAGAAGATGTTGTTCCAAATACACAACTTCCAACTCTAACACTGCAATTTCCTTAATTAATTCTGTTGCTGGCTGGAATACAAAAAACAGTAAAAATATAAAATTTGACAAACAGAAGTGTAAACCAATGTATAATCACATACAGGCTGCACAATAATCTTATGATCCAAGCACACATAAGGCAAAGTAAACTAGTGACATCAATGTCAATATAAAACATTCCATAAATACAAAACAGATCAAAGCTGTCAATAATTGAAAATTTAAATCAACAAATAAATATGCAAATGCATATTTATAGCCTCGGAATTTATTTAACTTGTTGCTACCTTGGGTATCACTATCTCATTTGAATTTACGAGAGATGAAGATCTGTATCCAAGTGCCTTTTCTAAGGTGCACCTGACCTGAAATTGGTCCTGTAATCTCCTCTCTAGCAGTAGAATCTGCCATAAGGTAATTTTAATTTTTAACATGATGAAAAGAACATGGTCCATGTCACACTTGGTAGGCACAAAGTCATTAATGGATGCAATTCACCGAAAAAAGAAAACAAAAAGGACATGACCAAATAGGCCACAGTGCAGTAAATACGACTGCAGTAAAACATGCATCAAAAGAATTATGATGAGCAAAAATTCTGGTATTGTACCTCTTGCTTCAGGGTACGGTGTACTTCATCTGTAGGGATTTGGTTTTTCCTAGCTTTATCACATTCCGTGAGGTAACCCGTGTCCTGGAACCAAATCAAACCCATATTGAGGCATGAAAGCTAATAAATTTTGTTGTGTGTGGGGACTGCAGAGAATGGAATCAAAATAGACCATAATGTCCCAACTGTATGGAAGTGATTAATGACATCAAAATATGCTTTTTGCAGAATATCAATTCTCTGTTCATCCATTTCACATTAAATTTTTAAAGTATAGTTACTGTTTAAGATTTTGGCTGCCCTTGGCATTCATGATATAAAATTGTCAAAAAATGAAAAGAAAAATTATTAAGTTTCTTTTAAGCATCACACACGCCTCTTAATGCTAAAGATCATTAAAAAAAAAGGGAAACAAGTGATTGACTATACCAGTTTCAATCGGTCTGAGGAATCATGGCCATTATCTGGATCATCCTCCTCAATTCTTTTCTTATCAGGAACACTGCCATGTAGAAATAGTAAACAAAGTAAATATGAGATAAGTTGATGCCTGGTACTGTATTGACTCATTGAGAATCTTCATATTTAGTTTATTGCCCTTTGAGGAAACCAAGTTGCATTCATGAAGCCCCCAATTATCACCCTTTGTAAGAGTATAGAAGAGGTAAAACTAGTCCCAGAAACGAGGAAAAATAATTGCAGAGGACGCAATAAGAAAAGCAACCCCTCTTGTATATATATGGTTCCAAATCAGGATATTATAGACAAACAGATAATCAAAGAACACTTATTTATGCAATATGAAAAGCTAAACCATAAGAAACAAGACAAAAAAACCTCTTTGAACGCTTGTGCCTTGGAGTGAATTTCAGTCCCAGCATTTTATGGTCTCCACCCCTTTCAAGCCCCATACCTGAAAGCCACCCAAATCAGAGTTATTCACAGTGAAGCATACACAATTGACAATTCACAGAAACAACAACTGCAACTGTGGAAACACAAAGCAACAAAGAGTCACCATCCTACCCAAGAACTTCACGAGCGAGAACTAAGATGAAGCACACTTGAGCCAAACACACTAGTCCAGAGTCCAAATTTTGTTGTCAGAGATTAGTAAACAGATTCTAACACTTCACATGTCCCTTTGCAATTCAGCATAGAGAAGCTTACTTCCTGGAAGTGACCACAAAGTGATCATTTAAGTGTCTATGATATAAGCATGCATGAATGTGGTGAAAAGATTAGTCTTTTGCCTTCTCTTTGAAGACTCTCCTCAGTCCTCACTACTTGTGCTAACCAACTACTGTCCTTTGTAAAGGGTGGCTTTTTTGCACTTGCATCAAAAGGAGTTCATGGAGTGTGCTTTAACTCAAGAACGAAATCTTTGTAGAATCACTTTGACAATGGTGAACGAGGGGAAAATGTCAAAGCATCAAAAAGTGGACAAATCTCACTCTAAAGTCTAAGGTCTCTCTAGAGATCCAAGGTGTGACCAACGAGAAGAAGAAAATAAAAAGTGGCTGCCTTGTTAACTGTTAAGTCATTATAAGTGGAAAGTGTATGTATGCATCGCAGCGTATTTATTTTCAACATTCTCTTCTCTTGTTGAGAAAACAAGTGGGAGTTGGTGACCGTCCCTCCATCCTTTTGTCTCGTTTTGCATCCTTCATTTAATTATACCTTAGACATTAAGCCAATTGAATTGATAATAGATAATGAAGACAAAAAAAAAAAAGAGACAAAAATCATATATTAGTTTATTTTTGGTTGAAAAGATACATTGTAAATGAAGTAACCGGGTATTATTTATTTTTTAGGTGTCTTGGAGCAATCTATGTACAGTGCTAGAGAAACCTCGGTTAAAATCTCCATACTTGGAATGGTACTAAGCATGTAAATTCTGTGTATTACGAATCAAACATTTTGTTTAATAATTGTTTTCTCCTGTTTAAGTGCTTAATCATTGATTTCGTTTTTACTTTTCTAGTTTTTAGGCTTATAGTCTTAGATAAAGTACTCTATAATCAATAACGAGAAAACAAGTGAGCTGGTAACAAAATACTAGATTGAAAGAAAGAAAAAGGCAAGGATTTTCCTCAAAAGGAATGAAAGGTAAGCGATAAAGAACATTGGATGCTTGAAAAGAAAAATAGAGGTTTAGTGGGGTTTCTCTTTGTCTAAATGGCTTTTTGAGGGATGACATAGGAGATACCCATATTGTCCTTGAGTGTCAAAGAGACTAACGTTTGTCATAGAATCAACAAATATAATAATATACTAATGGGGTTGAACCTTTTTGGTTCCATAACCAATGCAAAAAATAAAGGATGGGAGTGCAGTAAGGTGGCCAGGTCGTCAATACAGACCCATTGACAATTAAAGTTTCTTTTTTCCCTACACCCTTATTTAGTCAGAAAGGAGGGTGAGAAAAATAAAATAAAATAAAATAAAATTGGAGCTTAGGAACTAAAACAAATAGGCTCATTGTTAGTAAGAACTGTTCAGGTGTTATAAAACAATTTACATACCAACTTTTTACAAATTTTTATACAACTTTTTGTATAACAAAGAGAAAAACATAAAGAAAAGAAAGAAAAGTATAAGATACAATGATTAATTTGATGGAGAGAAATAAAAAAAAATAGTCTTATAGGATGTGTTTATGAATAATATAACTTCTATAGTATTATCTAATGAAAATATTATGTAATTGACTATTGCAGAAGAGGTGGGGTGGGTCACCGCAGTGAAATTCAGTGTAGAGAATTATCTTAACCTAACTTGTCTTATTATTTAGCATAGAGGGTAGGTGGAAAACAGAGCCAAGAAAGGCTACAGAAAATGACCGGTAAACTTCTTTGATAGGCTAGGGTTGAAACGTTTTGCTCAAACAATTTATCTATTTTCCTGATAAAGGAGATAATGTATAAACAAATGGCATTACTTGTAGGGGAAGATGAATATTAACATTTGAACTTTAATTTAATTCTTTATTAAAAATAGTAAGTGACAAATTTGACAAAATCTCAGTGAAGTTATACTCCCAATGGACTGAGGAGCAACAAAACAAAATACATGGTTCTTCTTTGGACGCATCAGATATTTTAAGCTTCAATACAGAGTGGAAATTTCTTGTCCCAACAAATAAACAAATGAAACTTCTATTTTATCTTATTATCGAAATTGCATCTAAGTCAGAAGGACGATTTTCAATGCCCAAAAATACCATTAATAACAAGAGAAATTTGTAGAAAATGGTTTCAGATCAAGCGAAGGGATCAATTTTCAAATTAATCTGACAGACATGCTTCCTAGGTTCATGTAATCCTCGAAAAATATATAGTAGAACTCTTTAATTGAGGAATAGGATTACAAAAGTACAAACTATGGCATCCCTATAATAAGGATCCAAGTTCACATAGTTTTATATATCACTGAGATTCTCCTTGAAAAAAACCACTTTATAAACACAGGACTAGATTAGGTGACCATGCTTATATGTTAAAATTGTTGTTTACAGAAATATTTTCAAATGCATACAGAGTTAAATGAGTATTTTAACTGATGAAGGACAGTAATTTTTGGCTGAACTGATATAAGAGGACAAATTAGAAGTTTTATCATACGCAAATAGATTCAAAAACAGCTTAGAGGAGAGGACTTCTAAACTAGTCTGAAGACTGGTACTTTCTATTTGTGATATTTTGTCCTTTTTGCCAGCTATATTATATTAGCTAGTGTTTGTTTGTTTTCATATGAGAACCAAAATAATTTTGAAAACACTGTTTAAACAAAATTAAAGTTAGTTTTCATACGAACTTGTGACAGAAGTACTTAGTGTACCATGCCTGACATGGTGACACTAGCTAGTGGAAACATCACAGTCATTTTTATGTTCGTGATTATTTTGTATTGTCTAGTTTTTGGCAAGGCTTTTACCGTGTGCTACATCAAAGCATGCCATAGGAGAAGGGAAATTGGAAATTAAAAAGGAAATGAAAGTGACTTTTCAAATAAAGTGTACATCTATTGCCCAAATCATGAGATGAGACCACTAAGTGACTAAACCAAATCACAAGTGTTGTTTCCAAATGTGAATCATAATTTGGCTGTTGCAGCATCATGAATCTTCTAGTAGAGGGGGTTCTGATCTGATAAGGGCGCCTCGAGTTAGCAAAAGTTATATACACTAGTTGTGTCCATTAGTTAAACGTGGGGGAAGGGTGAAAGAGACAGTGAGTGACTGTTTGTGCATGTTGTGGTGGAAAACTGGAAGAGGCTAATATGGACACAAACTGGTTTGGTTTGGGAAGGTGCAATAGAATCCCATTTGTGGGACAGAAAAAGTGAACTTTCCAAATAGGTTTGGACAAGCTAGTCAATGCCAATCATATATAACCATCAAAAGGCATATTCTCTCTCTCTCTGTCCCCACTTCTCTATCTCCCTTGTTCTTGGTTGTTTATGTCTCTCCCTCCCAGGCTCCTAATGAAAAATCTGGATGAAAAACAGAAATTTTAATATTGTGCATTACAAATAGATTAAACTTCACTCACTTTTAAAAATTAATTTTAGAAAAAAGTATTGTCAAAATTGTATAAAAAGTATTTTAATTATATTTTTAATCTAATCGAGACATTGTAATACACCTCTCCTTTGCTCAATAGTTGACATTTAGTATGTGAAGTTTGAAAAAATAAACTAAATTTAACTCAGTTTTAGTTTAAGAGGGAGATTTATTCAAATATTATAATAAGTACTCTGACCATATCTATAAAAAAAAAATTGACATCTTGTGATTGTGCAATAATACTTAAAAGAGCTAGCATGTATCAAGGCTTGTTGATCACTGACAATTATTTCCTTGCTGTATTCATTTAACTTGATCAAATTAAAGCTTCCAGTTGAGTATAGATAATGAAGTTTAATTGTACTTTTGCAGCATGCCAACACGTTCCTCTGCTTGAACAAACTGCTCCAACTAGGAGTTGGTAAAGGTAAATGAATTGGAGGCCATGAAATCACATGTCTATAGCAATTAGCAAATTGGCAAATAGGACTTTTGCATATGGAGATTTTGACAAAAGGTGCTGACATACCGGAGGTTCAACAGGCTTTAACTTTAGTCTAATCCAACATTGGTGAAGAGGATATGAAGCCCAACATCATCCAGGAACCACCTCATTGTCCTCATCTCCTTTTCTCTTTTCTCTTTACTTTTCTTTCCGTAACATTTCTCTTCTATCCAAAAATTCCGGGCTATAGTACTTACATTCACAGCATTCATGCACATTCCCTATAAGATGTAATAATGATTTTATTTATCCCTGCAATCAAGTTTTTAACTTCACATTCTGGAAATTTTTTATGTCAAATTAAGAAAATATTTGGCCAAGAACTGTGTGTCCTTCTCATTCAGATTGCTCATATAAATACAGTAATATTACAAGCTGTAACGTTGATTTCAGCCCAATAAATCAGCTAAACTACCATATATACATTTATAGCTAATTATGTTAAATAAAAGAATAACCGTTACAAATAATTGTGCAATCAATCCCATACAATTCTGTTTTCCATTAATTCCGTTGACATCCCCCCTCAAATTGATGCTAGTAAATCTACAAGCATCAATTTGCCAAGTAGAAAATTGTGTCGTTAACGTGTCAAGGATTTAGTGAAAATGTCAGCGATTTGAACAGATGTTGAGACATGTGGTAGATTGATGACTCTTCGATCATAAGCTTCTCGAATAGAGTGGCAATCAACCTCGATGTGTTTCGTCCGTTCATGGTAAACTGGGTTTGCTGCAATCTGTATGGCACTGGTGTTGTCAGCATGCAATGGAGTTGGTTGTTCTTGAGAGAATCCAAGCTCTGTAAGAAGACCACGCAGCCATATAATTTCAGAACAAGCGGCAGACATTGCGCGATATTCTGCTTCAGTGGATGACTTTGAGACTGAATCTTGTTTCTTACATTTCCATGAAATAGGAGCATTTCCTAAAAACATACACCAGCCGGTAGTAGATTTTCGGGTGTCTGGACATCCAGCCCAATCAACATCACTATATGCTTGGAGTTGCATTGATGAACCAGTAGGAAAAAATAAACCACGCTTTGGAGTGCCAAGGAGATATCTAACGATTCGTTGTGTTGCTGAAAGATGGAAATGCCGTGGAGATTGCATGAACTTGCTTACTGTATGGACAGCAAAAGAAATATCGGGACGAGTGATAGTTACATAGATGAGACTTCCCACCAGCTTGCGATATTGAGTGGGATCATCTAGAAGGTCACCTTCATCTCGTCTATATTTAACATTAACTTCTATGGGAGTGTCAACAGGGGTTGCATTTGTGAGTCCAGCTAGCTGAACCAAGTCTTGAATATACTTTTGCTGATTTAGAAAAATGCCTTCATGATGATAATGCACCTCTAAACCCAAAAAATAAGTGAGTTGGCCTAACTCTTTCATATGGAAAGTTGAATGCAGTAGGTGTTTGATTCTTGAGATAGCATCTTGATCGGAGCCAGTTACCACAATGTCATCCACATAAACGAGAAGCACCACAATTCCTTGAGGAGTCCTTTGTAGGAAAAGAGATGGATCATACTGACTTTGAGTGAATTCAAAACCAAGTAATGTCGATCGAAACTTTTCAAACCATACTCTTGGTGCCTGTTTCAATCCATATAAAGATCGTTTTAGTTTGCAAACAGTATTAGGCGAAGGTGTAGGCATACCATTAGGAAGTTTGATGTAAACTTCCTCCTGAAGATCACCGTGAAGGAATGTGTCTTTGACATCCATTTGATGTAGCTGCCAAGATTGTGATGCAGCAAGAGCAAGAATAGTGCGCACAGTTGTCATCTTGGCGACTGGGGCAAACGTCTCATCATAGTCTAGTCCATACTCTTGCTTATTTCCAAGCACAACTAGACGAGCCTTATAACGATCTATAGAGCCATCCAAACGCAACTTTATAGAGAACACAAACTTGCTTCCCAAAGGTTTAATAGATGATCCTGCACAAGACAACCAGACTGTGAGAATTGTACTTGACAATCATTTTCGACTAATTGACCAACTGAAATTAGATTACTAGTGAGGCCAGGAGAGACAAAAACATCTGTGAGAGATGAAGAAATATCACCCGTGGCTGTGATAGGCAATTGATTTCCATCAGCGGTATGTATGTTGAGAGTGCCCAAATATTTTTTCACATTTGTAAGAAATTGAGCATTGTTGGTCATGTGGTTGGAAGCCCTCGAATCAAAGTACCAAGATGAAGAGGATTTACCTGAGATTCCTAAAGCAGAGAATGCTGAAATAATCATCTGTTGAACCATTTCAGGAGTCACCGTTGAAGTAGTAGCAAGAGGATTTGGTTGAACTGGTACTGCATTGACTGAATTGTCAGGAATAGATGAATCAATTGCGCCGGTAAAGGCTGTGACATTTCGCTTTGGTGGCCTTATTGTGCATTCCTTAAGAATATGTCCATGCTTTTTGCAGTAGTTGCAGAATTTTTTTGGACAATTGGAAGCATAATGTCCAAATTGCTTGCAACAAAAACATTGAACAGCACTCATGTCATGACTTCTTGACTTCTCTCGTGCCACATATGCCATTGGAACAGTAGATGATTTTTTATCTGCAATGATGGACTGTGTATGGAGGCGTTGTTCTTCACGTAACAGATCATTGAAACACGCATCCAAAGATGGTACAGGGTCACGATGCATGAGATTTGACCGAATACCTTCAAAGTCAGATCTCAATTTCATAAGAAATTGATCTCGTTTAGTCGTTTCATAAATAGTTTGTACTGAACTTAGACCTTCAGAAGTTAAGTTTGCATAAACTATATCAGTGTACTCAGCCCAAAGATTCATGAATTGAGAGTAAAAATCAGAGATGGAGAGACTATCCTGTTGAAAGGAAGCTATGTCGTGCTCAAGCTGGAATCGTCGTGCAGTGTTCTTTTGACTGTAGACTTTTTTTAAGTAATTCCACATTTTGGCTGCTGTTTTGTAAGGACGAAGATTCAAAACAATGTTGGGGTCAACGGAACTAAGGACCCAGGCCATGACCTGAGCATCTTTGACTACCCACTTGGCATGTTCAACCTTATCTTTGTCTTTGTCAGGGATTGGAGTGTTGCCATCAACATGACCCCACAAATCTTTTCCTGTAACGAATATCTCGAAATGGAATGACCAAGCTGAGTAGTTTTTGCCGTTAAGGCGAACCAACAGGACATCGTGCTTTTCGATAGACATGGAACTAGAGTAATCTGGACTGGGAAGCAAATGACCGAGAAATAGAAGTGAAAAAAAAATCGAGAACGTAGGCGAAGTTCTTAGATCGTAACCTAAGCTGATACCATGTCAAATTAAGAAAATATTTGGCCAAGAACTGTGTGTCCTTCTCATTCAGATTGCTCATATAAATACAGTAATATTACAAGCTGTAACGTTGATTTCAGGCCAATAAATCAGCTAAACTACCATATATACATTTATAGCTAATTATGTTAAATAAAAGAATAACCGTTACAAATAATTGTGCAATCAATCCCATACAATTCTATTTTCCATTAATTCCCATTAATTCCGTTGACACTTTATGCTTAAAGTTTCTACTACCAATCATAGTGCAAACTATTTTTCTCTCATCTCTGCACAAGAAGAGAGAAACAACACTGTCATTGAACTACATGCTTAATTATTATACGAATTTTGTTAACGGAAGTCTTTATTAAGTAACTAGTGAGTTTTCTGTTTCCTTTAAATAAAAAATTAAATATATAGATTATAAATATTTTAAATTGAATAAATTTTGAAGAGTAAATATTTATTTATTATTGATAATGTTTTATTGCATTAAAAAAATTTTAAAATACTACTAAACACATTAATCAATTGAACTTAAATTGTTTTATGATTTTAAATTTGATGGTTGTATTAAATAATTAAAAACACAATTTTATTACTTACAGTGGTCCTACTCTCTTGAGGATATGTTTGATTAAAATTATAAATAAAGTATAAATTATACAATTAACCTCTTTTTTTACTAGCCCAGAAACCGTGGCCCAAATGTCCAAATCAAGTTGGATTGCTCTGTTCAAAACCTATGCACTTATGTTGAAAAAAACATACACAATTTACTTATCGACCAAAATCAATGAAGGCACTTACATTGAGTGACGTAAGCAGGTCCAAGTTCCACAATATTTCGGGTTTCTTGTCCAGCTTCCTTGGATTATCAACATTAATTTATTTGGGTAGTAAAAAAAAATTGAAAAAAAAAGCTGGCTAAAAAAAATATATACCAAAAAAAGCTAAATTTTTTTTTGAATTTTAAAATTGAATTATTTAATATTATAATATAAATTTATTAAATGTTATAAATATTTTTTAACATTGTTTTCAATGTCTTCGGCACCTATCATGTATTTTTAGATATTGTATATAATTATTTTTGTTATATTTTCTATTATGAATATAAAAATCAAATGATGTATTATCGAGTATAAGAAGACTAATGGTTTATTTTTATTACATTAACACTCTCAATGAGGATATTCGTCATCTTTTTTTTTTTCAATATAAAATTTGTAATATAGGTTTTTTATCCAAAGTGTTGATTGAGTGTCACTTGCAATTTATGTTAGAAAATATCTATAGAATTACATTAATAATTAAAACAGTTCAAATTTAATATTTAGTATTTTTTATTTTATTTTTCAACATTTTATTCTTTAAATAATGTTATTAATAAATTTTTGAAAAAAGTAACGAAGAATAAAAATGTTGATCTTTAATAGAATATCACATAAATACTTTAATCTGGGCGAAAAAAAATATCACATTACCTTACCTTTACATTTAAAGATCAACCTTTAAGTAAGTTTCAATTCCTATGTGGTACAGATATTTACTTATATAATATGAATATTAAAATATTCATATATCATATTTCACCGAGAAATTTGTATCTTACAACGAACAAACAATTGTTTCATAATTTAAAAATTAAATTAGTACATGCAACGAAAACATAATATTAAAATAATAACAACAATAATGATAAATGAATGAATAAATAAATAGATAAATGAATAAATGCATGATATTTTTCTTTTTTTTTTCTGCAATTTCAGTATAAGAAGATTCATTCAATACATTTCATGATGATTAATTATTGTTAATAATATTACAATCACTTAACGAGAGAATCATTAATCAACAAATTAAAGATATAAAAAAGGTAAAAAAATATACAGTTGTATTTGAATTTTTTCTTCAATGATATTGCAATCCAATTAATAATCATTTGTATTAATTACATTATTTAAAATAATTTTACAGATTAAATATATTATCAATAATTAATAAAAAATATTAAATTAGTAAAAGAGTAAAAATAAGCAATAAAATCTGCACAATATTTTGAAACTAGATTCCCCTAATAAAATTTAATATTTTTATAAAGTACTTTTTAGATAAAATCAATAATTACTTCAATCCTACGCTCAATTAAATTATAGTAAACTTAATTACTGTAATAATTATAATAATATTCATTACAATTGCTAAGCTAATAAAGTTAAATATGATAATATTTTAACTATAAAAAGCTATTACTTTAATTTGAGTAAATATTTTTATACTACCTTTCTTTTAATAGTAAGATATCTATTGTGAGTTGTAAAATACCATAATAACCTTATTTAATAACGTAAAGGATACACAAAAATGTGCAAAATTGTGTGCAAGTGGTCCATCCCATGTCGACGGTTAACTCTTTACCGAAACGACGTCGTTTGGGTTGCCAAGATTGTCGTTACAAACAAAGCGTCTTGTTTTGGTGTGACCTTTCCCTTTAACCGAAAATTCGGGAAATTACCGCTTCACTCGCATCTCGATGTTCACGATACCCAAACATATCTTTTTTTTTTTTTTTTTTTCCTTATTATGTCATTTTTAATATGAAAGATACAACTCGAAAATCTTAAAAGCTATTAATTAATTGATGTGCTATATTCGTATAAAATATAATCTGAAAAGGGAAAATTTCCTTAGATCTTAGAAAAATAAATTGGGGGCATTGAACTGAAGAGACGCGACCCTATAGTATACAATAATGTCTAGTAGAGAAAGCCGCAGCTGGGGAGCACTGGGTACAGAGCGCTGAAAAGGGCTTACCCAAAGGTCTCAAACTCAGAACTTAGCCCCTATTCCTAGGACCCATCTTCTTTTGTTGTGCCTTGTAACCCCACCACACCACACCCCTCATTTCTTTTCTACTGTTTCAAATTGTAAATTTCTACCCCCACCCCATCAATCACCCTCTAGCTTCTCTTACCATCCAATTTCATGTAACCTTCTATATTCTGCCCTTCAAATTAATTTTGCCCAAACACAACCCCTCCTAGGCGAACACCCCAAATTTTAATTTTCAATTTGAAAAATCCTTCATTAAATTTGGGCACGGGACCTGACCCCATCCCCTCTTTCATTCAATGTCTAAAACCTAGAGCCGCACTTGGTACATATATATATATATATATAATTATCAAAATCAATATCCCTAACCAATAGCCACGGTGAGTGAGGCATCGGTTAGGGAAAACGAGACACAACATTTTTCACATAAAAAACCAATTTCACCCACCCACCCACCACCACCCTTCTAATAGACCCAGCAAAATACTCATCTCCGTGCATAAACTTCCCCCACTCCTTTTATAAGGTACATTACCACTACCCCCTTTCCTAGTTCTTTTTAATTTTCTGAATTTTGGCTTAGCCAATGTCTATTCTATTTTATGTCACATTTTTTTTGCAGTCAAATTGGTTATGGTGTCTGACCTAGCTCATCCCTTAGATATATATTTATGTTGCGTACCTTATGTATTAATATAAAAAAAAAATCTCTATAGGTAACAGAAAAAGACGTACTAGTAATGGCAGGAGGGAAGATCTTAGCCCTTTTCGTTCAACGTTTTAAGGAGCCCCTCTATTAAGTGTTGAGGTTATAATTGATGTCCAGTTTTACTTTTATGATTCTGCAAATATTTTTCATTCTTGAGACATGCAGTTTACATGTTCCTCATCTTATAGAATATGAAATTGCTTAGGGTTTATCATCGTGTTACTAACGTACCCACAATAATGCAAGGATTTAGGCCGATTTTACTATTGGGGCTTCCTCATTAAGGGTTTTGGAGGTGAATGTAATTCATAAAGATAAAGATCCAGTCATTAATCGTGATGTGCCTGTCCTGTTTTGTTCTCGTGAAAGCTAAGAACTTTCAAGCTGTGTCTGAACAATTTCTTGTTGTTGCGGATTTAATTTTCCTTGGGACTGAGATTATTTGATTCTTACCCTAACTGAGGGAATAAAATTTAAAAGAAAAAGAATTTTTTCTGTGGGGTTTATGGGTTGGAGGGATGAACAAACAGAGTGTGACAGTTGACAATTGCTAGCTCTATGTTTTTATTCTCGTAATTTTCATAACAAAATCACCATCTTTACTGTTTCTTTTTGCCTGGTTTTGTTTTTGGGAATCTTGTTTTGACACGAATTTTTCGAGAAAAGGTATTCGATTTTGGGCTTGAAGATTAATTATTTCGTTAAGCCTTGAAATAAAAAAGATTAATGTTTCTAATGCTAATATTGCATGAATCTAGCTGAACTTAACGTAATTACTTCGAATCATGTTATATATTTGGTAGTGCGTGTATCAATTCCGATTTCCATTAAAAAAACCGTTATATAGTTATACATGAATTATTATTTTTTTTGAAAATTAATGAAAATATACTGGTTTTTTTTGTTTTTTTTTTCAAAAGATGCCTTACTTATTAAAGCCCCTCGTTCATTAAATGATATCTGTCACCGGGGCATTAGTAAAAAAAAAGCATGGATCGTTCTGTTAGTTCACATTAAACTGATTGAAGCAGGGGTTAGATATAGCAATTCAGAAGTTTCCAAATTCCTCAAATTTTTGTATGATGATAAAACTTATTTTTGAACCATCTTGCTTAGTTCTGTTTTACTGATTTGAACTTGTTCATTCCTGTTTTATGAGTTCATTAATCCCGTTGTCTTGTGCAGTAAAAAAAAATAAAAAAATCCATAAACAAGTATTGTAATTGATGAAGAAATTATTTCGTTGTGCTAACTAATTCCAACTTACTACTGATTATATGAATCTCCATCATAAAATTGAAATTACGTCTAATGAAATGGAACTGAATTAAATCATGAAAAAAGAAGATGCATTTATTAAGCTCATTTTTAGAGTGATTTTGCTTCCTATTTTGACAACAACGAATTTTTAAATATTAATTATCAACTATTACAAAATGTCATGACTATGAGATGCTTATGTCTCGGGTTTACCTGTTTCCATCAACAGTATCATGCATGACAGAATATTTTTTTTAATCATGGTTCACTATACAAATTGTTGCTATGGTCCTGTGTGTGAGAATATTTTACACTTATATTAACTTCACTTCCAAAGTGATATGTCTAAATGTTAATATCTATTGTTGGATGCTTATTCAGGAATACATTGAAATGCCTTTTTCTATCAAAATTAAAATAATCTTGCTCCTTCATGCTGGAATTAGGGACAAATGGTATACACAAGAACTGGACATTCAATTCCCTTATGCACTAGGTACCACCAAAATTTGATTCTCGTTCAATACTAAGTAATTTTTCAAGGTCATGGTCCCTGATTCTAGTATGAAGTAGCAGGGTTATTTGAATTTTTGTTGAATATAATAATTATGGATGAAACAAATAATTACAGATTTAATATAATTCTTATTGAATTTAGGGGAATATAAATAGAGAAATGGAGAGACAATGGAGTAGCTTGATTGATATTGCCTGACTGTGTAGTACTTTGGTTATGCAGAAGCAGAACATCTATATAGCCTTTTCATAGACTAAATGTGGACTATTTTATAGACAAGGAGCAAATGGTGCTACGTCCTAAATACTAATTCCTATAAAAGCTAAATGCATTTAACATCTGTTGTATAAACTCATTTAGCATTTAATACATGAACTGCCCTGTATTCTAACAATTCTAAAGTTGTAATCTATTTTCAATTAGCTAGGTTATTTGAACACTGATAGTAAAATAAGGCATTTCGATTAATGTATTCCTGAATAGACATCAAAAACAGAAATTGACCTCCAGACACTCCTGTCAGAAGATGAAATAATAACTACAGATGTAATACTTAAGCTCTTGCTTTCTCGGCATCAATCGACCCTTTCCTTGAAATAGTTATAGTGACAAAGATTCATTACTTCAATGCTGCTAATTAGTAAAGTCAGTAATTTAAGAAGGGTTATATGGCAATTCTTGTGTCTGGCTATATCATGGGTTTTTGGAAAGCACCAAAATCGTAAAATAGAATATCTTTAACTCTTATTGTTGCCTACTACTTTCTTTTTCTTGGAATTTTGGACTAATGTAGGTGAGTTTTAGTTTGGTTTTTATGTCAAAGGACATATATAGTGTTCTTACAAGTTCCATAATATATTGTCTGCATATCTAATTTTCTCTAATATCTATTAAGGTTTTATATTGTGACTACTAGGATCTAGTTATACAAGGAGCCTGGGTAAGGTTATGTATATCTAACATTCCTAGACACCAAAATGTTGGGGAGCTTTATGAACTGAGCTACCTTTTTTCTTTTTTGAATTTGACATGCCCGTGTCATTAAGTTTCAATATAATTTATTCCTCTTCTATTTTCAGCCTCTTTGTAAAAAATTACCAGCTCCAAAATTTCATTCGCTGACTTTTTTGTGGAATGACATTTACTTGAACAGAGAGGTGAGATAGGGATAATCAGTCCTAGCATGCGAATTGTATAACGCTATTTTAAATTAGTATCATGGAAGTGCTTCCTTGTTCTGGTGTTAAATATGCCGGGGAATCTGATTGTCCTCAGCAGAATTCAGGATCAGCTTTTGTATACCGGGAAGAACATAATTGCCCTGAAAATGATGAACAAGTCAGATTGGTAGATGCTCAACCGAGTGTATCATCACATGAGATGCAAGGTCTTCAGATAGAAGGGCAAGACGAAGGAAAACAGATTATTTGTGATTTGTCGACTAATTCTGATTGCCAATGCATTGGAGCTTCATTTTATGACTGTCAAGTGGAAGACCAAAAGGAATATTGTGGTTTCCATGATTTTCAAGAAGATGTGATAAATGAACCTTGCTTAATGTCTGAAAATTCTGTCTCTATTGTGGACACAATTGAAAGTGAATCACCAAACAACAATAGGGAAGGAGACTTGTCATGTTCTGAACCCAAGTGGCTGGAGGGGGATGGATCTGTGGCATTGTGGGTCAAGGTAACCATAATTCTTTTCTACATTGAGATTATAGATTGCTCTGTATTAAAAAGCTTTGTATTTACTTCTTTAACTGATCTGGAATGCCTTATCATAAGAAATTATCCACGAATATATAAGATCATGTTTTCTATATGCAGAAAAACCTCCTCTGGCATATTTCATTTAGCAATTTAGATGGTTTTCACTCTGTTGAAAAATGGAATATCAAAATGCAAGCTTTGCTAATTTTCAATTTTTTGTGAATTTTCTGTCTTTTTAGTGGAGAGGGAAGTGGCAGGCTGGTATCCGATGTGCAAGGGCTGACTGGCCCTTATGGACTTTGAAAGCAAAACCAACTCATGACCGAAAGAAATATTTTGTCATATTTTTTCCGCACACAAGGATTTATTCTTGGGCAGACATGCTGCTTGTTAGACCAATTAATGAGTTTCCCCACCCTATTGTGTATAATTCTCATCAGGTAGGACTGAAAATGGTAAGAGACTTAACTGTTGCGCGGCGATTTATAATGCAAAAGCTAGCTATTGGCATGCTGAACATCGTCGATCAGTTACATTTTAATGTATGTGATGGTGATGCTATTTTCTTTTCTCCATTCTTTTTTCTTGTATTCTTTTTATATATAGATATATATTCTTTTTAACTGGAGTTTATTTCAACACATACAGGCTTTGACAGAAACTGCCCGTGATGTGAAAGTCTGGAAGGAATTTGCTATGGAGGCTTCTCGTTGTAATGGTTATTCTGATTTTGGGAGAATGCTTCTAAAGCTGCATAATGTAATTTCTAATTCTTGATGATAGTTTATGGAGTAGGGAGTATCGTTCTGGTCTTTAAATTTGGGACTACTCAATATTTGTTTTATTGATGCATCACTGTTGTTAAATAATTGTCACTGTAGATATTCCTTGACATGATTTAGCAAAACAATGCCCTGTTTTTCTGATAGGGCATAGTTTTACTAAAACTGTCAGAAATTATAAATTTACTGGGAAACTGAATTGCTAAATTTTGTTTAGTTAAAATGTTTGAATTCTTTGTGGCTATCATTCTTTGTTGGGTTCATACAACTTGAGGAGCAGAAATCTCCAAAAACTGAGCATGAGACTTCAACCAACTTAGTTAAATGATGAAGTGATACTCGACAATAATGTAGTGGTCTTGGAACTTTCTGCATAAATAATTTATATTGAACTGGAAGCATTAATTAATCATTCTTTCTCTCATCTTTGACATGTGAATTTTGGGCTTCATATCTTCTTTGGTTTTGCTGTATTCATTACCTCTTATTTTATAATGTTACATGGTTTTATAAGTCTCTCATCCTCTTTGAAATTGTTTAAGATTGTTTCTGCAAGCTTCTGATTGTTAATAGTGGTCCTTGTTAGAGGATATTCTGTACATTTACCCCCACTCATTTGGATTATGTGCTTCATCAACCTAAGAGCACATTTAGTACTATGTCTTAAAACTAGTGATGAAGTAATTATTATTTGCATGGTATGTTATGTATTTCATAATAGCATTGTGAAATAAGGATACGTTTGGTTTTTTCCTTTCTTTGTTCTTAGATATGCTTGGCCCTTTCTTATTATTGAGAGAGAGAGAGAGAGCTTGGTATTGTATCTCTTCAATCCATTTCTTGTTCTATCAGTACTTGATAATTCAAGTAAATTTGACTGATGGCTGAATACCAACACATGAGAAGTTGAATGCTGATACCTGTAGTACAATACATGCTTTGCATGGTCTTTGCAATTTATGTCAGTTGAGCTTATATTATAGCTATAAAGTTTGGTATGTCCTAGCACTATTAATTTTCTTTTTAAAAATACAACAATGATTGTTTCCATTAATTTTTGCTGAAAACTTTCTCCTTGTGATTGAGGTAGTTTTTTTTTTTCCCTACAGAGCATACTGCAGCCATATATAAATGCTGACTGGTTACAACATTCTTATCACTCTTGGGATGAAAGATGTCAGAGTGCAAATAGTGCTGAATTGGTAGAGCTGCTGAAGGAGGTACCTATACCAATTCATATATCCAGAAAAAAACTAATGTTGCGCAATCATTATTGCAACTAGCATATTTTTCCTCATAAAGGATGATAATCATAAAAAAGAATAGGATAATAAAATGCATAAAATTTGTGAGCATAGCTAAAGGGTGTCTCCAATTATTTTTGCTTTTGTGTTATCTTGCTCCCTTTCTTTTAATAAATGGATTTGATGAAATGGCATTCAAGCTCAGCTGCTTGCCCAGTCCATGACCCATGTTATCAAGCTGCCACAGGCAGAGATAGATCTAGAAATTTGAAATGAAAAGGTTTTGTGTCTAAATATTTTCCATAACTATTTGTTGGTTTCCTGAATTTAGTAATATTTTGACTTCCCACAGCTGCCATTATAAAACCAAATGGATTTATTGAGCCATGCTTCATTTCTACAGAAAATGAAAAGTTTCTCATGTTATTGCGATTTGTCTTAGTCATTGCCCTTATCCTGTTGGTTTATATTTTCCCAATCTTTTACTTAACTAAGCTTTTAACTTATTTATAACAAATAAGCAAAATAAGAAATTAGAGAAGTTGAAGTCTTCCCTCCCAAAAGACTGAGGTCCTATAAAAAATATAGTGAATAAATCATAAGAAGATAAATACAATTTTCATAATGTTCTGTTTATAAGATTTCAACAAATCTCGATCAAGTATAGTTACCCTGTTTTAATTATCTGTTGTTTTACAGAATGGATTTGTTTCATTCTATTCGTTGTTCTTTTTCCAACTTTATCTTTGTCTCTTGGTATCTCCACTAAATGAAATGAGAGAAAACATTAATGGAGTGATAATGTTTTCGATATTTTGATAGAGGTTAATTTTGTCATATGCTATTATGTTTTCTTCCAGCTGAGATCATTTAATATATTTCTCAACTTGTCGGCAACAATCAACTCATTTTGAAATGTAGGTATATAAAGTCAGCAAAAAAGATTTAAGGCTTAGGATTTGGAGTGAAATAGCAGTTTGTTTTATTTAATAAATTAATAGCAAATAAAGCAATTAGCAACAGAACTTGGTGTATTGCATGGATTGACTTGTACTTTAGTGATATTGGCTACCTACTCGCCAGCTTATATAAGTTTCAAAATCTGTATTCATAAAATCATTGAAATAATCATAAAGCTCTTTGTCAGCAATAGGTAGAGGCACATGCAAACATAGCTTAAGAGACAAAGGGTGGTAAACTTAGATAAAAGGATGGAGTATTGCTTTGTCACTTAATGTTTTAGAAAGAAATAGAACAATCAAATGTTCCTATTCTTATTATTTTAATATATTTTTTATTACATCTCTCTAGTTTTAAAAAATATTTTGTGCTAATAAAGACTCATTCTGATACCTTTTTGATAAAAAAAAAAGTGAAAAATAAATTCTACATACTCAGTTTCCTTGTTAGATTGACTGAGACTATCTTCTGCCATCTGGGGATTTTAGTTTGTAAATTTTTTCCTGAAATACTGTACTTAGCTGATAAGGTCTCATTTTTTATTTTATAATAATAGAGAACATGGATGATTTGGTGCTGCTTTTAAGATGCTTAGATTGAAATCTTATGTCAATTTTCAAACAACTGCAACAATGAATGCCTTGCTTCAAACAAAAATCACAAACTTTTTGCTCAATATGTTTGGTTGATTTTATTCCTTATCCTCATCTTCAGGAATTGTTTGATTCTATTTCATGGAATGATGTCAATACTCTCTGGGATGCACCAGTGCAACCACTATTAGGTTCTGAATGGAAAACCTTGAAGCATGATGTGATGAAATGGTTTTCAACACCACATTCCTTAACGAGCAGCAAAGACACCCAGCAACAGAGCTCTGATGATTTGTACCAAGCAAACCTTCAGGTTTGTAGAAAAAGGCCCAAACTTGAAGTTCGTCGTGCAGAGACACATGCTTCACAGGTAGAAATCAAGGGTTCAGATCACTCTATTGCTCTTGACACTGATCCTGGCTTCTTTAAGAATCAGGACACATTGAGCGCATTAGCAACTGAGACTTACAAACAGGACCATGTCAGGGAGGTACCTATAGCAACTGATTCACCTAGTAATTTGGCCAGTAAATGGAACGAAATTGTAGTTGAGGCTGCTGATTCTGATTTCTTGCATAACAAAGAAATAGGATCAACACCTGTAAGTGAAATTACTGTTGTAAAATCTGTAGAACCTGGTAGTAAGAATCGACAATGTATAGCTTATATTGAAGCGAAGGGAAGACAGTGTGTGAGATGGGCAAATGATGGTGATGTATACTGTTGTGTGCATTTATCATCTCGATTCTTGGGCAGCTCAACAAAAGCTGAAAAGCCTGCTGTGGTTGATACTCCTATGTGTGAAGGTACAACTGTTCTGGGTACTAGATGTAAGCATCGTTCCCTACCTGGCTCTTTATTCTGTAAGAAACACCGGCCACATGGTGAAACCGAACAGATTTCAAATTTACCCCAAAATACACTAAAGAGGAAACATGAAGAAAATTATACTGGTCCAGAGGACATGTTCTGCAAAGACATGGTTTTGGTAAATGTTGAAAGCCCACTGCAAGTGGATCCAGTGTCATCCATTGGTGGTGATTTGTTACATGGAGAAAGCAACTTTAATGAGAAGCCCATGCCTTCCGAAAATGATCATAATGCAATGGAGTCACTGCAATGTATAGGTTCTCCTCCCTATGATAACAAAAATCCTTGTAGAGAAGGTCCTAAAAGGTATTTCTTGTATTGTGAACAACACCTTCCAAGCTGGCTTAAACGTGCAAGAAATGGGAAGAGTAGAATAGTATCAAAAGAAGTGTTCACAGAACTTTTGAGGGACTGCAGCTCATGGGAGCAAAAGGTACATCTGCATAAAGCATGTGAGCTTTTTTACAGGCTATTCAAGAGCATTTTGTCGTTACGAAACCCTGTTCCTAAGGATGTCCAATTCCAGTGGGCTTTAACTGAAGCCTCTAAAGATTCTTGTGTAGGAGAATTTTTTACTAAGTTAGTTCATAGTGAAAAGGAGAGAATCAAATTGATGTGGGGATTCAATGATGACATGGATATGCCGTCTGTTATGCAAGAACCACCTCTCTTGCCATTTGCAACTAATGATAGTTTTGATAATGAAAATGCCATCAAGTGTAAGATATGCTCTGCTGATTTTCCTGATGACCAAGCACTTGGTAACCACTGGATGGACAGTCATAAAAAGGAAGCACAGTGGCTGTTTAGAGGCTATGCATGTGCTATTTGTCTGGATTCTTTTACTAACAAGAAAATGTTGGAAAATCATGTTCAGGAGAGACACCACGTGCAATTTGTTGAACAATGCATGCTTCTCCAATGTATTCCTTGTGGGAGTCATTTTGGAAATACTGAGCAACTGTGGCAGCATGTTTTATCAGTTCATCCTGTTGATTTTAAACCAGCAAAAGCTCCTGAGCAGCAAACTTTCTCTAATGGAGAAGATTCTCCAGTAAAACATGATCAAGGAAATTTAGCCTCTTTGGAGAATAATTCTGAGAATACAGGTGGTTTACGAAAATTTGTTTGCAGGTTTTGTGGATTAAAGTTTGATTTACTACCTGACCTAGGTCGACATCACCAAGCTGCTCATATGGGGCCCAATCTAGTTAGCAGCCGCCCTGGAAAGAGGGGAGTTCGCCATTATTCATATAGACTGAAATCTGGCAGACTTAGCCGCCCTAGATTTAAAAAAGGTTTGGCAGCAGCATCATACAGGATTAGAAATAAGGCTAATGCTAATTTAAAGCGATGTATTCAGGCAACAAACTCACTTGGCATGGGAGGAATAACTATAAAACCTCATGCAAATGAAACAACCAACATTGGTAGATTGGCAGAACATCAATGCTCAGCTGTTGCAAAGATTTTGTTTTCAGAGATTCAGAAGACTAAACCACGGCCTAACAATCTTGATATTTTAACAATTGCCCGCTCTACTTGCTGCAAAGTTAGTCTTGTAGCCTCACTGGAGGAGAAATATGGAATTCTACCTGAAAAACTCTATTTGAAGGCAGCAAAACTTTGCAGTGAACATAATATTTTAGTGAATTGGCACCAAGAAGGGTTTGTTTGTCCTAGAGGATGTTATGTATCAAAGGATCAAGCATTGCTCTCTACTTTAGCATCTCTTCCTAATGGTTTTGTAATGCCAAAATCTTCAAATTTATGTGATTCTGCAAGTGATGAGTGGGAGGTGGATGAATTTCACTGCATCATCAATTCACGTGGTTTAAAATTAGGTTCACTGCAAAAAGCTGTAATCTTGTGTGATGATATTAGCTTTGGGAAGGAATCAGTTCCAGTGATTTGTGTAGTAGATCAAGAACTTATGCATTCTCTTCATATGCCTGGATGTAATGAGCAGAATACAAACTCTTCTATGCCTTGGGAGAGTTTTACCTATGTTACCAAGCCAATACTCGACCAATCCCTTAGTCTTGATTCAGAGGTAGTTTACGATGACTTAATTTTGATGACTTAATTTCTTCTTTGATCAAATCCTAACTTGTGAGGGATAAACATCATACTAAATACCTGTCACATAACTTATATTGCGGACATTATTTTGGAGGTGCTTATTTTATGAATCAAAATTTATCATATTCTACAAAAGTTATTATAAAATCCTTTTACTTGTAAAAGCTGTCTAGAATGTTATGTGCTAAAGTACACAAAAATCTTGTATTTATAACTAATACCTTTTTTTGTGAGATTGAAGATATCCTTTAACCTACTTTTTAAATTTATTTGCAGTGTCTGCAATTGGGATGTGCCTGCTCATATCCTACCTGCTGTCCTGAAACTTGTGATCATGTATACCTTTTTGGTAATGACTATGATGATGCAAAAGATATATTTGGGAAACCAATGCGTGGCAGGTTCCCATATGATGAGAATGGTCGAATAATCTTGGAGGTAAAATGTTTTCTTCAATACAAAATCTGAGCTAAGAATTAATTTTTGGACATGTTAGGCTTTACTTGGTACTGATGTATCCGGTACTTGCTAAAATTCTGAATATGTTATCTCTTCCAGCTTACTTGACTTGTATTTTTTTGTTTTCTAAAAATATTAATTCTTTCTTTTTATCATTGCAATTTGCAAAATATTATTGTTAGTATTATAGAGGCTTTGAATGTGTTGACTTATCTCCATTTTCAGTATGATCATATAGGATCTTGTCCTGATATTTAAGAATTACTTACATAGGATTTTTTAAACATCATTATTATGAGATTTTAACTCTAGTTCCCTTAAAAAAATCAGTGGCATATATAGCAGATGTTTGCCTTTTATTCCTTCACTGTTTCTTTTCATTTATTTATTTACAAATTTTCATTTTGTTCCATTCTGGGGATTGTCTTGAAAACTGCAGGAAGGTTATCTTGTCTCTGAGTGTAATCATATGTGCAAATGCAATAAAGCCTGTCCAAACAGAGTATTGCAGAATGGAGTACGAGTCAAATTGGAAGTTTTTAAAACAGAGAAAAAGGTTACTACTCTTCTTTTGATTAACTCAACACTTCTCAAGGTTTATTATATTGACTTTTATGTTTTGATTTGTAGGGATGGGCAGTAAGGGCTGGTGAAGCTATTCTACGAGGCACCTTTGTGTGTGAATACATTGGAGAAGTTTTAGATGTGCAGGAGGCATGCAACAGGCGCAAGAGGTTTACAATCCTTCAAGATGTAATTTCTTCTAAATTAGTTCCTTTTCTTTCCCTTAGTACTGACTTAGTGACTTGTCTCTGTCAATACCAGATATGCTATAGGGAATTGCAGTTATTTCTATGATATCGATGCTCGTGTTAATGATATGGGTAGATTGATTGAAGGGCAGGCCCAATATGTAATTGATGCTTCTAAATATGGAAATGTCTCAAGGTTCATCAATCATAGGTGAGCATTTTGCTTCATAACACTTGACAACGTTTTTGCTATGGTATCTTGTTCAAATTGCCAGTTTGCTCTGAAATTCTATAATATCCTTCCAAAGTATTTTTTACCACCAAATTTGCATCATTGCCTAATAATCTAATGTCCTGAATTAATTTTTGGCTAGGTATGTTTTCCATCATCCATGAACTCATGCTACTTCCTGCTATTGTTTTGCCACTGTATGCTATTATATGAGCTTTTCAAAATGTCCTTCACATTTACATCTTTATCAATATCTTGATGCTGCATATCAATTTCACGGCGTGTTGGTTTGCTCTTACAATTTGTTGTTGTAGCTGCTCGCCCAATCTTGTCAATCACCAAGTTCTTGTAGAGAGCATGGATTGTGAGCGTGCACATATTGGCTTTTATGCAAGTCGAGATGTAAGTACTTTCCTCTATAGAACTATTTCATTCAGAATGATCGAACATCTATGATGCTTGGCAATTTCTACACAAACTTTTTTCTTGAATTTGCTGTATGATCCAAAATCTATTGATGTATTTTGGTATGAATGGGACATATAATGAACATCATTCGGCACTCCCTTTTTTCATCTCTTGTTTGTGAATAATGTTAACTCCCACATGTTATGTTGTAAACGGTGGGCAGCTTGGTTGTACTACATGGATTACATTTCACTTTGTTTCTTGTTGACAGATTGCTTTGGGTGAAGAGCTGACATATGACTATCAGTATGAGCTTGTTCCCGGAGAAGGATCTCCTTGTCTTTGTGAATCGTTGAAGTGTAGGGGACGCCTTTGTTAGAACCACAACGTGTGTGTTGCTGTTGCAATAATATTTTTCAGATTGCCAATTTGGGACACAAATGATCTGCTCAACATTCTAAGATTCCCAATGTGGACCCAACTTTGAAGGGTTCTATTAGTGGTGATGTCTTCTAACTGATGAGGACAAATCAAATCACCTGATGGCAACTTGTATGGAGTCAGCTATATAATTTACTAGCTGTCTCTGGTAAACTTAGGATTCAAGTTTTTTGGATTTTTTTGCCGTGTACAATCTGCCTCCATCCCTCTCTGGTAGAGTAGGCATGTTTTTGCAGCTTAGTGCACAATTGTACTCCTTTTCCTCTTGCTTTATTCTCCAATTTTTCTTGTCATGGAATAATTTGGGATTCTCACTCCTTTTCTCCCACCACCAAGGATAGAGAATCAACACCACCCCCCCCACCACCCCCCACCAAAAAAAAAAAAAAGGTCTAGCAAAAACATATGCAGCTAAAGCTGTCTGGATTGGTAATTGTTATGATTTTTTTTTTCCCGGATGTATGGTTCAATTTCTTTCAATTGTGTTTCAGGAATGTAAATATGCTTAATGTTTTAACATCTTTTTCGGGCAATTACTCCTTTTCTTATAGAATTAGCTTGCTTGTAAATTGTGTCATTGAAACACGAGTGCTACTAAATGTTGCTCTTTGTAAACCTAGACCAATCTCACGGATGTAAAAATTTGAGCTTAATTCTCATGACAAATAAATGAAGTGGATACCCCGCAAAACGAAATTTATTTACGTTCTTACATGTATTATAGATAATTCAAATCCTTTATATTGATAACAGTAATGTTATACAAATTGCTATTTGTATCATTTTACATTTGTAAAGTTTCCACCATTAAACTAAAAGTTATTTTATCTGAACTCCTGCACGATTACAATTTGATGGTGATTCATGTTAATGCATACGATATGAAACACCCAAGTAATGTACAGCAAACATCGACAAAAATAAAATAAAATATCGGGTTTAAAAGAATAGGTTTTTATTTAAAAAATTGTAGAGTCAATATTAAAATTTTATTTATTTTTATAAGAATAAAATATTAAAAAAATCTTTAAGAGTTTTGAGTTCAAAAGTTGATTATATCTTCATTAGCCTGTCAATTACTTTAAGAGTAAATAGTGCAATGATTTTAAATATGGACTTTAAATATTATTTATTTATTTATTTTTAAAAATAGGCCTTTAGTATAAGTATTATAGGCAAAAATAAGATTTGAGATCACTAAAGATTTCTATATTTATGAAATATGAGTGTGTGACTTCTTATAATAGATTTTATTGATAGTACAAAATATTAAAAAAAAAAATGAATCAGTTATATTGATAGAAGTGATTTTATCCCGTCAGATATTTATTCTAGTATCTGAAGTACAAAATATAAAAAATAAAAAATATTCTTAAAATATTAGAATTATTATTCATACTAATTATTTAGACCTTGTAATTTGATTTATAAAAACTTTTTAAAGAGTTAAAAGAATAAATTAAAAAATATAAATTATTTAAAACTTCCATCGCTTATTTTTTTTTATCAAAGGACAAATGTTTATTTATTTTATATATTCATTTAATAAGGGAATAAGTGATGATCTAACAGTTCTTACTCAAGAAATTTTTGGACCTCAATTAATTCCTTAATTTCAAATCATATATTATTTTTAAAAGAAAAAATTTTGTAATTTTTTTATTTGAAAGCTAATAAAAGGGTTAATAACTTAAAATATATTTTTATATTTTATTTTAGAAAAAAAATTTAATCATCTAAAACTATTTATTTATTATTATTGTTGTTGTTTTTGCATATTTGTTTTTTTTTTAAAAAAAGACTTTATTTTGAAAATGATTTAACATTCTAAAAATTTTTTAATTTCAATTTGAAAGATTTAACAACCTAAAAAAAATTAAAGAATATTTTTTTTATTTTTGCTCAACAAATATTTTTTTATTTTGACAGATTTAATAAAAAAAGTATTGATATTTTATTTAAAAAAAGATAATTAGGATGCTTAATTGAATTTTTTTTATAATTTTTGCACGGTGGGTGGAGTAACATTCAAAAAAGAAGAAACGCAAAGGAAAAAGAAATAAAAAGAAAAAGAAAAGGAAGAAGGAAGAAGGAACCACATACAAAAAAAATAGCACTAAAAACAAAGAGATAGAAAAGATAAAATAATAGAAGAGAAAGCAAAGAAGCAACTATATAGTAATTTCTATTTATAAGAAGGATAGACAAAATTAAAAATAATCAAAATTCATATATTTTTATTTTTCTTGTAGTATCTATCTCTTTTTTGTATTTTTGTGTGAAAATTCTGTGTGAAACAAATTCTCTCTACAAAATTCTTAGTGAAAAAATTTCTTTAAAAAGTTCAGTATCTTCAAAATTTCTCTCCCTTTATATGTAAGTTAGTCACTACTTATAATAAGATTAATATTTAATAAAAGAAAATTAAATATATTTTTTATGCTTTAATTATTTTAATTTTATTCTATATATTTTAAATTAACTAAAATTAAAAATAGAAACAATAATTATTATTTACAGAATATCTTTATAATTTTTATTGATTAAATGTCTTTTTAATTATTTATTTTTTATTTTCTAGAATTTATTATTTATTATTTAATAAAATGTGCTAACCCGAACAAAAATGAGTATTCCTATTGATTCAATGGATTAGTGAAGAATGAATTTGATATTAATATACTCTTAATGATTTAACATATGTTCAATATTAAATAGATTGTACATAATGGGCACAACCTAATCAAGAATTACTCAAAAAGAAGTGTGGTTCTTGCCTTAATAATACATATTTGAGTTTTAAACCAACAAGTTTTTTTTAGTTAAAGTATAGGGTTTTTTATTTAAATATTGTAAATTAAAAAACTATTTTTTAATATATAGGTTTTTTGAAATTAATTCTCTATATGGAGTAAATTTGTCACGTTGATATAGTGTCTTGCTAAAGTGAATGGCGAAAAGAATAATATATATATATATATATATATATATATATATATATCATACTAGTTTCGCCACAAGAAGAGCAAAAATAGAGGATCCTTACACATGTCTACATCTAGATATTTTTGCAGTTTTGATGACAAAATTTACAGAAACTTTCGCCATGTGCAGAGCGAAACTAATAGTTCCGTCATTAAAGTGGCGAAACTTGCACAATATTCTGCCGAGACTTCTAATATATATAGATATATATATGGCCCCTTCTCTTATGCATACACCCCTTCCACCGCTCATTTTCACCTTTGATTTTCCTTGACGACTAACGAGTTTTTAAAAAAGAAGGCCAATTTCTAATTTTTTTTCATTTCATGTAAATTTATGAATGTAGTTATTGTTTATTTTATTAAATAAATTGATTAATAATGAAGTGTTATTATTTATTTGATATTGATTTAGAAAAAATTAGATATTAAATAAACTTTATTTGTAAAAATGTAACATGAATGGATATGTTATAATTATATACTGGAATGGTAAAATCTATGAAGGAAATGAAGGTGTGAGTTTTGAAAGAAGAAAGAAAATGATTCAGATAAAGCGAGGAATAAGTTTTGAAGTTTTGAAAAGAAAAATTCATTTGAAACTTAATCTTGATCGTAATGAAGTTATTTCTAGATTAATTTCATGTTTTTTGATTAATAAAAATAATAGACAGTATACATCTTTAGATATTTGTGATGATGAAGATATTGATTGTATGATAAGTGCATTTCAACAACAATCTAGTAGAAATGTTAGAGTTGTATGTGGATATTGCTGTTGGTAAAAGTTCATCAGTGCCGTCACAGATGATGAATTTAAATTTATCACTTTCAGAGCAAAATAATGGGTTTTGAATAAAATGAATTTTTTTTTGAAACATTAGAAAAATTTATCTATTCATTCATTTATACGAATAAAAAAAAATTATTAAAAAAAATTATGATTATTAAAAACTCAACGGGGATCCACTCTTTCTTTGATGAATTTGAGAGGGTCATGTTGAGTTCTTACGCTTTCATTTCGAAGACTCAAATAATACGATTCATATAGGGATAAGTCCAATCCGGAATATGAACCATAAAAGAAAATACCAATTAAACCAAATGGGACTCTTTTGAGTCATCATTACTATGAAGTGATATGAATTACTTCATAAAATATTTTATTAATATATGTATTTGCTGAAATAAAAATTTATAAATTTGTTGCAATAAAGGAATTATGATTGAAGTTGATCAAGATAATGAAGACCCAAATTATGATAGTTACGGTGATGAAAGTTATTTTGTGACTGAGTCTAAACCAACATGTTTGTATGTGAAATGCTTGAACCATACCTCTAGTTGTCTATAGAGAGTAAGGGCTTCATTGTTGAAGAATTCAAACAAGTGAAAAATTACTAGATGAGGTAGTTCACATACATGTGTCAATCTTAGAATTTCTCAAGATCATCAAAAGTTAGATTCGGATTTGATATGTTCATGCATCGTTGGTAAGACAAATGTTTTCTATATGTTCATAATTTTATGTTTTATTATCTATACAATTACTTTATTTTTAACTAAATCAATTTAATTTGATGTAGGAATGGTGAATGAAGAACCGTCGGTACATATTTCATTAATACAAGAGCGAATAAGTGCACAGTTTAGATACAAAATTTCATATAAAAAAGCTTGGAAGGCAAAACAAAAAGTCATTGTTAAAGTTTTTGGTGACTGGAATGAATCATACTGTACATTGCCAGATTGGTTAGAATATATGCAATTATATGCTCCTGGATCCGTTTTAAAATTGAAACGAAAGAGTATGTGGTTGATCATCAAGTGGATAACAGGTTTAGAGTATTTGAATCGTTGTTTCGGTCTTTCAAACAATGTCATGAAGCTTTTAAATTCTGTAAACCTATTTTACAAGTAGATGGGACGTTCTTATATGGTAAGTATCGTTACACGTTGTCTATTGCAACAACTCAGGATGGAAACAATTGTGTCCTTCCAATAGCTTTTGCAATCTGTAGAGCATTCTGATTATACATCCCAATATGATTAAAGTGCTCATCCAACCAGCTCATCTTCAGGAAACTCCTTAAAAAAGCATCTTGGCCTGATTCAATACTTAGGCTGTCTTCAACAATCTGAGCCCAATCACCTCCAATAGGTGCTATAACTAATCTCTCATCTATGCATAGCCCTAATAGGATAGCAACATTTTGAAGAGTAATAGTACACTCTCTAGGGGGCAAGTAGAAAGTGTACGTCTCAGGCCTCCACTTCTCAACTAATGTAGTAATCAGTCCCACGTCTAGGAAAAACTGTGATAAGTTAGTCATTCCAATAAAGCTGACTAACTCTAAATGCGTAATAATTTGCTGAGAAACACTTTCTAATCCACCATGAATATTTTGACTCTTCCTGACCCTCAACATCGGGTGATCACGTATATCTCAAATATGTTCAGAGACATGAAAACTCTGAAATCGAAGGAGTGATGAATCTTCTGGCCCGAGATTAATAACCCTATTATGTCTCGAAGATGATGTTATCTATACAAAAAAAAAAAAAACATATAAATAGAAATATCAACTTTATTCGTCAATAAAATTATTAGTATTTCTTGTTTAATGAAAATAAGAACCTACCCATAATTCTATAAAATTGCTTATTATTACACAAATCATTATCACATTTAACAAAAATTCCTAACATAATTAATTAGAACTTTTTTTGAATTTATTATAAAATTATAATCACATTCTAATTAGACAAAAATTCTAACAAAAGTGTCCTACCTTTTTAAAAATAATTTTTTTTCAATGTACATACAAAAATTTAAATTACAACAACTTAATTAAAAGAATAAATTTAACTAACATAACTAACAATAATAGTTTTTATCATTACATATCAAATATAATTTTATTCAAATTAAAATATAAACATATGACTAACATAATATCATAATTTATTTTTTATAGTAACATACAATACTAACTTAATTATAATATATATAATTAATCTTATTTAATTTTAAAAACTTAATCAAACAAAATTTCATTTACATTTAAAATTAAAATTAAATTTTTAACATAATACAATAATTTCTTTTATTTACATATAAATTACTAACATATTTATAATAATGAATTTATCTTTATTAATTTTAATAACATAATCAAATAATATGTACTTAAGATTTACATACAAATTATGAATACATTTTTAAAAAACTTCAAATTACTTACATATTTACAATATATAAAATTACAAAATTTATAATCTTTCAATCATAATTAAAATTTATTTAGTTACAAAAATATTTTATACAATTAAACCAAATATTTCTCAATATATAACAAATATATTATACAACATCATATTAATAATATTATACAAACATATAATTAACAAATATCATTATATTATTATTCTTTGCCTACAAAAAAATATTTACAATTTAACATTTTCAGTCAATTAGAACTTTATTTTTTTAACCTATTAATCTAAACATAAATTAACAAAATCAATTTAACTAACCTTTGTTAAACTTGTTCTACTTCTTCTACTAATCTCTAATACTGTATTTACCTGCAATAAAAAGCATGTTTTAAATTTTTCAGCACTTTAAAATAATAAATAGAATATAAAATTACATATAAATATAAAAAATATGATTACCTTAAATAAAAATTTAAAAACTACAAAATCTTAGCCACAATTTGCACACCTTGCAAGCTTTCAGAAATAGAAATGGAGGAGAGGAGCGACGTCAGAGGGAAGAAGAGGAAATGGAAGAAGAAAGGAGGAGAGAAGGGGAAGAAGGGGCGAGGGACGATTACTGTATTGCCTGTCATGCTAGTCAAAGTTTGTTACTTAACGTGTTTTATTAATTTATGTTTATTAATAAGTCCTAGCTCTAAGGGAAGTTCTATTTTTTTGGAACAGTTTCTTTAATTCCTGTTTTGTTGCCATGTAGTACGTGACTCTTTGATTCATTTTCTATTTTGTGAAGGCTTATATAAGGCACTTTTTATTTCTGATGAATAAGACATTCACTCCCAATATTTCCTTGATCATAATTATTTCTTATTCTAATAATTGGTATCAGAGCTCTGCAAGGGGCCTAATATTGTATGTGAGAAAAGGAGCACCGAGAGATCAATTTGTCTACATCTGAGAAGTTTGTACAGTCAGTCATTCCAAGGTTCGATGGCCACTATGATTATTGGTCAATGACGATGGATAATTTTCTACGAAGTAAAGAAATGTAGCACCTCATAGAAGATGGAAACTGGAACAACACCAACTGAAGCGCAATGGAAGAGTATGGAAGAGGCCAAGCTTAAAGATTTGAAGGTCAAGAATTTCTTATTTCAAGCTATTAACAGAGAGATTCTGGAAACAATTCTTGACAAGGGAACTTCAAAGGCAATATGGAGATCTATGCGGCAAAAGTACCAAGGGTCCACAAAGGTGAAAAGAGCATAACTCCAAGCATTGAGAATAGAGTTTGAACTACTGGCCATGAAAGAAGGCGAGAGGTTGATAACTACTTGGGAAGGACTCTTAATGTGGTAAACAAGATGAAATCAAATGGTGAAGCAATGAAGCAAAGTACGATTGTTAGTAAGATACTCAGATCTTTGACCCCCTAAGTTTAACTATGTTTTGTGCTCAATAGAGGAATCAAATGATTTGGGTACCTTAAGTATTGATGAACTACATGGCAGCCTTCTTGTTCATGAGCAAAGAATGTAGGAATTTCAGACAGAAGAACATGTGTTAAAAATAACCAATGATGATAGACCAATCAGAGGCAGAGGTAGAGGTCTAGTCAGAGGAGGACGTGGTAGAGTGTCAAAATAATTTTCTGGTGTCTGTATATTCTGCTGAAACGATCCATATATACATTTACATATGTCAATCAAAGAGCACAATTCCTTGGCTCACGGTTAGACTAATTCCTACCCACTAATTACATATATTTTCCCAAAATAGTTACAATCACAATATTCAGCCCAAAATAAATATAATCAACCATATCTCCCTATGATTGATTACAATCAATTACAATCATTTCCGTTTTACTCCCCTCAAGATGGAGCATTCAAGTCATGTATGCCCAACTTGCCCAACAATGTGCCAAACTGTTTGAGACCAAGAGCCTTAGTAAAAGGATCAGCAAGTTGTTTAGTTGTGGGAACATGAGAGAGAAGTAGACGGTTTTGGGTGACTTCATCCTGCACAAAATGACAATCCACTTCTATGTGTTTGGTTCATTCATGAAACATAGGATTTTTAGCAATATAGATAGCTGCTTGACTATCATAATACAGACGGATAGGAGAATGATGAGGGATCAAGAGGGAGGAGAGTATATCCTTTATCCATTTTAGTTCTCGAGTTGTCTTAGCCATAGATCAATATTTAGCTTCAGCCGAGGATGCAAAGACAACTTGTTGTTTCTGCGTTTTCCAAGAGATTGGAGCATTGCCAAGTTTAATAATCCACCCAGTGAGAGACCGACGAGTAAGGGGACAACTCACCCAATCCGAATCACACCATCCATAGAGTTGCAAATTATTATCCTGAGGGAGGAGGATACCTTGTCCAGGACGTCCTTTTAGATACCTCACAACTCGCAAGGCAGCCTGCCAGTGTTCCAAGCGAGGTTGTTGCATGAACTGAGATAACACATGTACACTGTAAGCAAGATCCGGTCGGGTAAAGCACAGATAAATAAGGCGGCCAACGAGACGACGATATGAGCTTGGATCTTCTAATGGTGGGCCTGTAGCAAGACCCAATTGATGGTTTTCTTCACATGGTGTAGATGCGGGTTTGGCACCAAGTAGTCCGACTTCACTAATGATGTCTAGAGCATATTTCCGTTGGCGTAAGGAAATTCCAGCAGAAGACCTTGCTACCTCGACCTCCAAAAAATATTTTAAACGTCCTAAATCTTTCATGTAAAAACACTTGTGCAAATAATCTTTAAAAGTTTGAATCGCATCATTATTGTTTCCAGCAATGACTAGATCATCAACATATATCAAAACAGCGAGTTGCACACTCTTTTGATAAAAACAGAACAAAGAATGATCCTTCTAGGATTGTTGGAATCCATACCTCACAAGGGCAGAAGACAGTTTACCAAACCAGCATCGAGGGGCTTGTCGGAGGCCATACAGGGATTTGCGAAGCTTACAAACCAACCCTGGTTGAGATACTTGAAAACCTGATGGAAGCTTCATATAAACCTGATCAGCGAGTTCACTATGAAGAAAAGCGTTGTGAATATCCATCTGGTGAAGTTCCCAATCTTTTGTTGCTGCCACAGCTAGAACAGTGCGTATAGTTACCGTCTTTGCAACTGGAGTATAGGTCTCGTTGTAGTCCAAGCCTTCGGTCTGGTGATTCCCAAAGATCACGAGTCTTGCTTTGAACCGTTCCACTGACCCATCAGAATGATACTTTATCTTGTATACCCATTTACATCCCAATGCTTTCTTTCCTGAAGGCAACTTTGTGATGTCCCAAGTATCATTGGTCTCAAGGGCATGAATCTCCTGGGACATAGCCTCATGCCAACGTTCATCTTTCATAGCCTGAGAAAATACAGAGGCTCTTGCTCTGTGTGCAAGGCCGCAAGGAAATCTCGATGTTGAGGAGAAAATGAATTGTATGCCACAAATTTATGTAAAGGATAGGCCGTACTTGAGAACGAAGCTGGAGAAGATGAGCGATCAGAGGAGCTATGGAGTATCGAGGTGTGGGTGACGAAGTCACGGAAACACACTGATGGTGTCTTCAATAGATGATCGCGACCCACTAGATCTTGCGACAGTGAGGAATCTCTTGGAGGAGATGCCATTTCTGCAGTCGACGATCATTCCACGCCTGGGTCAGACATCATCGGGTTTATGGGTGACGGCACATCATTTGGTGGTGTTGCAGCCTCCTCTACTACCAACAGCATGTGAACTGGAGCAGTTGCAGTCTGTGTTTCTTCTGCGATTTTGGAGCCACAGTCGGTGCCCCTAGGCGAAACTCCATCGCCCTCTAGAATCAAAACTGAGCTCCCCTGTCGACAGTGATAGGGTAATCGTGTCTTTGAGGTGGGTAGGGTTTTTCTTGGACAATGGGCTCAAACTCAGGTCCAACTAAGTCATTGAGAGCGCCCTTGGTAATGGGCCTGTTTGTTTTCGCAAAGGGAAACACTGCTTCGTGGAAGTGAACATCCCGAGACACAAAAATAATTTCCTTCTCAAGATCAAATAATTTCCAGCCTTTTTTACCAAAGGGATATCCAACAAAAACACATTTTCTACTCCTACTATCAAACTTGTCCTTTCCTTTATTTTGCTTGTGTGCGTAGCATAAGGACCCAAATATTTTTAAGTGATCATAGGTTGGTACTTTCCCGTAT